TGATGGTAGGCAGAAATAGCCTAACACTAGCTAGCTCTGATATCCATGCTGTACTCACCAGCTAGGTGCAGCTCAGGCTAAGTGTGGTCTCAGTGTGAGTGGATCTGAAGGTATGACAGCTGGAAGGTGTTCATATGCTCCTCACAGCAGGATTTTTTTTTTTTAACTTTCTTTTAAAAGTTCTTTTAAAGGATGCCTTCATTACTGTCATACAAGAGTTACGAAGGTCTGGAGGGAGAGTATATCAAAAAGAGAAACTGGCAAAGGTCCTAAGATAGGAACAAGGCTGGCATATTCAAGGGGAAAAAAAAAAGAATTCAATAAGTTTGAAGCATGATGAGAGTGGCAGAGTTGTACAGGAAGGCAGATTGATAAATAGAGTCCTAATCACATAGGAACCTAGTAAACTATGATAAGGAGATGAATTTTATTTCAAGTGTAATGGAAACCCATCAGCATGTTTTAAGCAGTGAATTATTATGATCTGATTTAGGTCTTAGAGCCAAACTTCCTGAAACAATCTATATTTACAGCATCCATTTCCTCATATCTCATTTTCTCCCAGCCCACAGCAAATCTAGCTTACATCCTCACCTCGCTACTGGAAGAGCTTTTACTAGGTCACCAAAGACTTCTTAATTGCTAGGTTCAATAGCTTTTTTTCAATTCCCATCCTAGTTGTCCCCGGGGTCACATCTGCACACTGACCACTCACTCTTTAAAATTACTCTCACAGCTGCTTTTTACTACTCCTTCTTTGATGACTTTTCTTCATCCACTCTCTAAATGTTTTTTTTTGGCAGAATCATATCCTTAATTTTTCCATGCCATCCTAGGCCCTCTCATCTTCTGAATTCCAACAATCACCTAAAATTTCTCAAAAATGCTCCTCTAGCCCTCTACTCTCAGTTTTCAAACCTAGATTTCCATTTGTGTGTTAGCATGTCCATCTTAATGGAAAATAATATACCAAAACAACAGTCATTTTCTCCTAAAAGACTAAAAGATGCTCTACCTTGCATAACGGCCTCACCAGTCACCTAGCTCATGTAACTCACTGGAATAAATTTAACTCCTCACTATTGTCAAAGTATAATATTCAAAACTTAAAGGCATGACTATTGTACAAATGTAAAGTGAGTATGTTTCCAAGCTCTATTTAATTCTTTAATCAGGAAACCAGCAAGATGATAAAGCTGGTTCACAAAAAATTAGAGAAACTTGAGTATACTTAGATAGTCACAAAAGATGTGCTGAAATAAAGTTGCTCAGTTATAATGTCCTGTTGGTTAATGTTTTTACAGGTCAAAATAAATCATAGCCTTTTGATTTGTATTCTCTACCAGACAAAAATCATTTGCAAAAATCTAGGAGTTAACGTTTTGCTCCATTTTAGCCCTGTGTGTACGTATGCTAAGTCGCTTCAGTCATGTCCGACTTTTTGAGACACTATGAATTGACTGTAGCCGGCCAGGCTCCTCTGTCCAAGGGATTCTCCAGGCAAGAATATTGGAGTGGGTTGCCATGCCCTCCTCCACAGGATCTTCGTGACCCAGGGGTCGAACCCACATCTCTTACGTCTCCTGCCTTGGCAGGCAAGTTCTTTGCCACTAGGGCCACCTGGGACGCCTACTAATACTGTCAATTAATTCACTACAAAGGCACCAATATCATTTAATGAGAAAAAGAAGATCTTGCAATAAAGACTACTGCAGTGACCAAATGTCACACAAAAGAGAAATTAACCTGATTCCTATCTCTTGGCATAGACAAGAATTGATTTGAAATGAGTCTTAGACTTACAAGTGAAAGAAAATGTTTTAAAGCTTCTAAAAGAAAATATAGGAGAATATCTCCATGACTCTAGGGCAGATACAATTTCTTAAACAGGACTTAAAAAGTATTAATCATAAAATTTAAAATTGACAAATTAGATAGCATCAGAAGTTCACATTTCTCTCATCAAAGACACCATCAGGAAAGATAAGAGGCAAGCCACAAACCGGGAGAAGACATTTACAGTACATATATCTGAGAAAGCATTAGAAATCAATTATAAAAATGCTGAAAATCAAATAGAAACATTGCATAAAATATCTGAATAGGCACTTTGCAAAAGTACATATCTAAACAAGCAATAAACTTATAAAGAGGTGTTCAACTGTATTAGTTCTTAGGAAAATACAAGTTAAAACCACAATGAATATCATCACTCATGCACCAAAAAGACTAAAATTTTAAAATATTAAAGTTTTTTGAAAAACTAACAATATCCAATGCCAGAAGGATATAGGCAAACTTTTAAACATTGCTCCTATGACTATAAAATAAAACAACCACTTGTAAAATTGTCTGTCTCAACTAATGTCAAACTCACTGAACTTATGACACAGCAATGTCATTTCTAGGTATATACCGAGGAAAAGTAGCATGTCTCCCCCTAGAAGAATTTTTGAAAGAATGTTTATTGCAACCTTATTCATAGTAACTCCAAGCTGGAAACAAACCAGATTTCCATTGACAGGTTAAAGAACAAATAAATTGAGGTATATTCATACAATGGAATATTACCAGGGATAAAAGAAAAAAATTATAAACAACTGAAAAAAATAAAGAACTAGTCATAGAGTCAACAAAAAGATGGATACTCATGGACACTATCTTAAGTGAAATAAGAAACAAAAAGTATGCGCGAGTAAATCTGTAGTACGATTCCATTTGTATAAGTTCAACAACAGGCAGAGCTAATCAATGTTTACCAAAATCACAACAGCATTACTTTTGGGTAGGTGGGGATGCGATAGTAGCTGGTGGTATGTACTGAAAAAAGCACAAAGCAACTTTATGGGGTAATGGAAGTATTCTGTATCCTAATCTACATGGTGGCTACAGGAGTGTATGTATGTACAAAAATCTTCTAACTGCATACTTAAGATTACCATGCTTTATGCATTTTACTAGGTATGTTATCTACTTTAAAATATTAGTTTTTCACAGGGCCTTTGGATGCAATTTTTGTAGAATTAGGGAATACAGATTGTAGAGGGTTAAAGAATGATGAGATAGTGATTAACTTCACTTTGAAGAAATTCAGCTATGAAGAGGAGAAGACTGAGGAATTAATAAAGATATTAACAAGTTATAAGTATTCCTTTGGAACAGGAAACACTTTATCAGAGGAGAAGCCAATTGAGGGGTACAGGTTAAAGATGGGAGTGAAGCAGGAGAAGAGGAAGTTGATACGATTTAGATCTCTTAGAGTCAAAAGTGGAGGATTATCTACATAAAGAGAAGGAAGTTAGAGTGGAAAAAAGAGAGGTAGGGTGAAGATACTCAGAGACTGTGAGGTAGAATATAATTTGAGAACTTTCACTGTACTTGTTCTCAAACTTGTAAGTACAATAGGAATTTGGGATATCCACTAAAAGTCAGGATATGGGATGAAAAGTTGACAGGAAGTAGAGTGAAGTTTTGATGAAGCCAGTTTGCTCTTTTATTAGCTGTGAGGGGCTAGCTTTTTCTTTTTAGTTTCCTCATCCCTGTGATGGGGATCACACTTACTTGACAAAGTTGCTTTGAAGAGTAAGTAAATTAATGAATCTAAATTATCCATTAAGACAATCAGTAAATGTTAGTTTCTCCTTTTAAAAAAGGACCATAGTTGCAGAAAATTATTATTCATGAGTTGTTTGACAAACAAATTGAATAATCTGGAGTCAGGACAAAAGAGGCAACAGAGAACAAGGAACCTAGTCCCCAGCAGCATTGGGAAGGCTGGTACAAATGTACAAATATTTCCAAGTTACAAATCAAGTTGTGTATGTATTCTAGTCGCTCAGTTGTGTCCAACTCTTTGCGACCCCACAGTCTATAGCCTGCCAGGTTCCTCTGTCCATGGAATTCTCTAGGCAAGAATACTGCTATTTCCTCCTCCAGGGGATCTTCCCAACCCAAGGATCAAACCCAGGTCTCCTGCATTGCAGATAGATGGATTCTTTACCATCTGAGCCACCAGGAAAGCCCATAAATCAGGCTGGCAAGCTGTTAAATAAAATATGTTCTATCATCCTACTTTGACAAACATGGCTTTGTGGTGACCTGAAGTCCAGGTTCAAAGTTGAAATTCTGATTCTTTAGTTTTTCATACTGAATCTTGGTAATGGGGGGAGATCCAGACAGACTCAGCCTTTTCTTCTTTCTTCCAACTCTGCCCCACGCTGTGGAGGACCTCTAGTGTACATGTGTAGATACTCCAGCCTGCAAGTCCAAGCTTCATTCTCACCCTTGGCAAACAACAGGCATTTGGCCACCTGTGAGCTTAGGGTTATACACTCAATGGCATGGTTCTTGCCAGGCAAAAATCCTAGAGGCAGACTCAGAACCATTTGGACAAGGACTTCTGGGGTCCCAAGTCTCTGGAACTTGTACACAAAGTGGGTGTGTGGGCGTTGGGTGTGTAGGGAAGAAAAATAATTTCCCCTCTGTCCCTTTGAGTTCTTGCCTGACAGCCCTGTGATAAAAAGGCTGATTAACAAGAGAAAAACAAACAGAAGTTTGTTAACATATTTACCCCCTATACACCTGGGAGATATCCAGGGGAAAATGAGTAGTTCTAAAAAGTGGCTTAGAACTCCAGCTTATATAAATATAGTTATATAAAATATTCAACAAAGAACAGTACATTTGCAGAGAAGTTACAGGATAAAGGAAAACAATTTTAGGCTTTCAAGGGCAGAAAACTGGGAAGGTGGGTATATGAGAGGAAACTAATAGAATAAGGTTTGCAGATTCCCCTGGTGCTATCTCTGGGTTAATAAGGGTCTGTCTCTAACAAAGAGAGGGTTTGTGTCCTTTTAAGGGGTGGGTCAAGAGAGCTTTTCCTCCATCTGCTGCTGCTTAATTGTCTCTGGCTCAAAAAATTTTTGTCAGAGGCACGTTTTAAGGTAACATATTCTGCTGCTCCTCAGAGGGGTATGTCTTAGGCCCTTGAGATGCCTCACCTCATATGAAGTACAGTTGAAGAAGGGCCAGAGTGGGTTCCAAAGTATGGGACCCTGAGCAGGGACCTCTTGTGCCCAGAGCTAAGGGCAGTGTAGCTAGTCATATTGAAGTCTAGGATTGTCCGCACTTCATGCGTCCAGCACTGAATATACATAATATCTCTAATCACATTAACTAGAAAGAACAAAGAAACTTAAGATTAAAATATGCTGAAATTTTTAATAAGAATGGAATAGAACATATACTTTCTACTTGCAAAGTAAGCCATCTAGCCTTTTGAGTTATTTTGATGGATTGAAAGTTTCCCTATGAAGCCTTGTATAAAACTGAAAATTATCTATTAATCTCAGAGCTACTCTTCAAATCAGAAGATTTAGTTGGCAGCAGGGGTCTGGTAACCAGCTTTGGGGAGGTTTAGCTAAAGAAAAGGAAATTTCATGGCTTCTTTGTCTGGCTTTACATTTCTTAAAACCAGATAAGTTGTAGTTAGATACCCATGCTTGTAGATTCATAGGATGTCTTTGAACCCAAATGGTGTTCTTATCACAACAGTCAGAAACAAAGGATTTTGCATTTTTTTGGATGAATTCTCATTAGTAATGAGGCACTAAACATGCTACTGAATACAATATAGAGAAGATTAATAGAGTTATTTTTAGCTACCACCTACATACTACAGGCAGACAGCATCAAGAGCAGGAGGGAAATAATGGTTCTTTTAGTTTAATAAATCATAATTTTCCTGCAAAATTCTTCTCTTTCCTCCCAAAATTGGGTCATCTAATTATATAAAGTGATTACTGTGGCAACAGTTAAGATATTTAGAGAAAGAAAAAAGAGAAAGAGAGGGAAAAAAGGAGGAGGTGGGGGGGTGGGTGAGGCTATTAAACAGAAAAATGATTAAAAGAAAAAAGTATTTTGACTGAAAAGTAAAATGTGGTAACTGGTAACTAGAAGAGAAATGAAACAGTGAAATAATTATGTTTAGGTTTGAACAAGTCAATAGCTGAATATCAAAGTAAAGACAAATTTTCTCACTGTAGATAGAAGAACCACAATAGTAGCTTAGGTGAGGAATAGCAATATATTTATATTTGCAAATAAGCCCTGCAAGTCAGATTTGACAGAACGTAAAATACCATATGAAATAAGGTCAAAATGTATATGTTATATAGTATATTATGTATTATTAAATATAACATTTAATATGCTTTTATATTATATTCTCCAGGCCAGGATACTGGGGTGGGTAGCTATTCCCTTCTCCAGTGGATCTTCCCAACCTGAGGATGGAACCCAGGTCTCCTGCCTTGCAGGCAGATTCTTTACCAGCTGAGCCACAAGGGAAACCCAAGAATACTGGAGTGGGCAGCCTATCCCTTCTCCAGCGAATCTTCCTGACCCACGAATCAAACCAGGGTCTCCTGCATTGCAGGCAGATTCTTTACCAGCTGAGCTACCAGGGAAGCCCAACATTTATATATTTTTATATTAAAACCTAAAATATATGGAAGACAGCTTGCCTAAAAAGAACTATAAATAGCTTTTAGATATTTAACTTACTCAGCTTCTCTAAAAATAAATTAAATGCTCAAATAAATGACACGGAGATAAAATTTTCACCTACTAGAAATGTCTAAGTTTGGTATTGTTGTTGTTGTTGTTTAGTCGCTAAGTCATCTCCGACTCTTTTCTGACCCCATGAAATGTAGCCCACCAGGCTTCTCTGACCGTAGGATTTCCCTTGCAAGCATACTGGAGCGGGTTGCCATTTCCTTCTCCAAGGAACCTTCCTCACTCAGGGATTGAACCCACGTCTTCTGCAGCAGCAAGCAGATTCTTCACCCCTGAGCCGCATGGGAAGCCCGAGTTTGGTATTACAAACTTAACTATGGAGAATTAGCAGGAAAAGCCTTCCTTAAGCATTGTTAGGTAATTTGAAACAAACTCTTTGGAGAGCCTTGGAGATCACATGTATCAAAATTATAAATGTACATACCATTTAAACTAAGATTTATACTTCTCAGAAATTATGTTGTAAATATAATTGCAGAAAGTGGGGCTTCCCAGGAGGCTCAGTGGTAAAGAATCCACCTATCAATGCAGGAGACCCGGGTTCCACTCCTAGGTCAGGAAGATTCCCTGGAGAAAGAAATGGCTATTCCAGTATTCTTGCCTGGGAAATCCCATGGACAGAGGAGCATGGAGGGCTAGAGTCCATGGGGAAGCAAGCGAGTTGGACACAACTGAGAGACTAAATGGCAGCAACAATGCATAAAACATGTGCATAACTATTCACTGCCATTTAGAAAAAGATTGGGAAAATACTCAACGACCATGAACAGAAGGTGGATAAATATATTAATTTACGTCCATAGCATGGAATTATTATGCTCCTGTTAAAAAGGATAATGCAGATCTGTACATACTAATACGTAATATGTTTCAAATACATCCTTAAGTAAAATAAAAGTCCAAACTAGTGTATATAATACACCCTCATTTGAGTTAAAATAACATTAACAATAAGAATAAAGAGAGATTAAGGCCACTTCACAATGTCAGTGCTCTTCAGCCAAAGACTACCAGAAATAACTGTAGTTGAACAAGGGAATTTATTTATTTATGTTTGCTGCAAGCTCAGTGAGAGAATTGTGAGGTAGTTCAGAAAAAGAGTGTAAGAAAGGACTTGTCTCTGAATGGGTAATTTGAGGGGGTCCAAGGAAGCAGGGTCAACTATATAAGTGGGTGTCTGAGTGAATTTCATCTATAGCGAGGACAGCTTATGGGGAGATAAAGAGACAACTGAACAGTCTCAGTTTCCCACTTGCCCTTTGCTGGCATGGGTGGGGATGAAGCCAGAGTTTTTTCTGTGGTAAATTAGTTGCTTTCAAAAAGCTTTCTGTCTTGCTAGGCCACCCTTTTCTGGTCATTTGGTTCAAGGGATAAGGCGTTGGTTGGACCTTTGTCAGTGCCCATTGTCATTTTCAAGTTGTCTGCTTCTCCAGTATTCATTCTAGGATGATATGCATTAAAAAAAGAAATCCAAGGAACTCACCATGTTGTTTGCTCTCTGGATCCTGAATTCCTTAGCTGTTCTGATCTATTTTTATCTACCAGAATCTTCATATATTTGTGCTATGTTATGTTATGCCAAGAGCTGTTTTTTGTTTTTGTTTTTGTAATTGGAAAAGTACAGCAACTCCATTCTCCTGGAAGTGGAAGTCTCCTGGTATATTTTTGCACTGTTTGAATTGTTTCACTCAAAGCATGAATCATCCATTCAATGATTAAATAGCTATATAGGTACAGGCCTTGCCTTTTTAGAACTGATAATGGTGACTACAGCCATGAAATTAAAAGATGCTTGCTCCTTGGAAGAAAAGCTATGACAAACCTAGACAGCATATTGAAAAACAGAGACATCACTTGGCCAACAAAGGTCCATATAGTCAAAGCTACGGTTTTTCCAGTAGTCATGTATGGATATGAGAGTTGAACCATAAAGAAGGCTGAGCACCGAATAATTGATGCCTTTGTATGGCGGTGTTGGAGAAGACTCTTGAGGTCCACTTGGACTGAAAGCAGATCCAACCAGTCAGTCCTAAAGGAAATCAACCCTGAATGTTCACTGGAAGAACTGATGCTGAAGCTGAAGCTCCAATTCTTTGGCCACCTGATGCGAAGATATGACACTGGAAAAGACCCTCAGGCTGGGAAAGATTGAAGGCAAGAGGAGAAGGGAGCTATAGAGGATGAGATGGTTGGATGGCATCACCAACTCAATGGACATGAGTTTGAACAAGCTCCGGGAGATAATGAAGCATAGGGAGGCCTGCAGTTCATAGGGTTATGAAGAGTCAGACACGACTGAGTGACTAAACAATAATGATTGCTAAATATCTTTGAACAAAATAATGGAGAACAGTAGGACAGAAAGTAAATGGAGTGTGTAAAGCTGCGTTGGTATAATGGTCAAGGAAATCCTCTCCACAGCACCTGAGCTGGGATCAAAAGCCAGTCTAGTGAAGAGCTGAAAAAGAGAAAAGGTAGGGTAAATGCAAAAGTACTGAAGTAGGAATAAGCTTGGCATAATCCAGGAATAGAGAGAATTCTAATGTAAGTGGAGTACTAGAGCTGGCTAGTATTGTCTTACTTATTGACATAATGAAAAGCATTAATGTCCATTCATATTGGAACTACATTTGTTTATCAGATGCAACTATAGTTTGAATACAGATACAAGGGTTTGGCAAAGATCAATGAGAGACTGTTGCAAGAACTAATATGCTATATGGAATTTTTAATAAAGAATATTGTCTTTATCGTGCAACATATTTCTTATAGCATTAAAATTTATTCTAAAATGTATGAATCTTCATATAAACACATGCGTGGGTGTATGATGCCTCAGAAAAAAAGTGAAGGCTAGAAATAAATTTGAGTCATCAGTATTTAAATTGTAGTTAAAGTTATATAACTAGATAAATCAACTAGAAAAAATTTTGTGTTTAAAAAAAATAAGAAAGCTTAAGATGAAATCCTAAGCGTGTGAATGGAATGGTCAGCGTAAGAAAGAAAACCAGGAGAAACTGGAAGCCAAATAGGAGGAAGTGGTCAACTCCGTTGAACTTGGCAATATTGGTAACTTCAGCAGGAGCACGTTACTAGAAGGTTGTTGCTGGAAGCCAGACTGGATTAATTTAAAACAGACATAGCATTTCTATTGTCGATCAAGATTATGCAAAATGTATTTTGAAATTTTCTTCTAAGTAAGAGAACTATAAGGTAGAAAACTACTTAAATGCTTAGGTTTACCTGATAATTGCAGACAGAATTTCTTTCTTTAACTCTGTTAGGAAACCATCCCTTCTTGCTCGTACTTCCCCTGCCCATCATCACTAAGAATCTTCCCACAAGACCACTGTTTCTCACTCATCCCTTAGAAAACTGTATAAATATTGAAGTATTTACAAATGAGATGATGTGATGTCTACAGTTGACTTCAAAATAATCCAGTATGTGTGTAGGGTAGGAGAGTAGGGACTTGATGAGGGTGTGGAAGAAACAAAATTGGCCAGATGTTGAAAATTCTTCAGGATAATCAGCTCAGGGTTTGATTATACTACTATTTTTCTACATGTGTATATGATTGAGATTTTCCAGAATAAAAAGATTTTTTAAGTGTCGGGGAAGAACAGGATAATCTTTACCATTAAAAAACTTGCACACGACTTAAGACTTCCCTGATGATCCAGTGGTTAAGATTCCACACCCCCAAAGCAAATGAAGCATGTGTTTGATCCCTGGTCAGGGAACTAAGGTCCTACATGCTGCAGAACATTAAAAACAAAACAAACAAACAAAAAAAAACAACCTTACACGCAACTTAAGAAGGGTCTTATTTAAAAGAGTTAAAACTCGGAAGGTAAAGAGAGGAGATTGTGCACCAACAGAGGGAGAGAAGGCCCGTGGGTGTTTGAAGGAAGCCAGATTGTAGTGTGATTTAGGTATAGTAGCAATATTCATGGAATGTTTATTTCTGTGGTGCTATGTCTTATAAACGCTTTCTCATTTACTGATCATACATCCTATGAGGTTATACGTACATACGCACAAAAAAATGCTAGGACGTGTCCTTTTTCTTGAGTCACAAAGCTGGTAACTTTTGGGTTAGTAATCTCACTGGAAAAGCCAGAGTGAAAAAGTAATGGGCTAAGGGAGAGATGGCCAGAGACCACCTACTAGCCAAATAAGACCTACAAAAGGTATGCTTAAAATGTTTGATTTTGCTCCTAACATTTAAACCAGGAACCAGAAAACGAAGAACAAAAACTTTCAATTTCCGATTTGTCTTAAAGAATGGAAGATTAAGCATTACCGATGTTGCACCCCCCTCACAGTCAAGGCACTGCTGCCCTCTTTGTGTGGGACTTGAGATTTCTCCTTTTTGCCAGAGCCCTCTTAACCTGTCTTACTGTGAACAAACTGCTTCACTTTATGCATTATGGCCTGTATAAGTATTTGAGTTCCTTTATATACTAATTATATTCAACCTGGAGTGTTAGGACACACTAGTGTGGCTCTGATCAGTGAGAAAGGAATAGAGGCATAGAAACCCAATATGATTTTTCCACCACATGTTGAGAACTACAGTCCAAACCACTCCTCTAGCAATCAATCCCACACTCTGTGCCTATTGTAATGTCTCTTGCAGAGTTTCCTTGTGCTATAAATGTTAATTGCCAGGTGAATGAATGGTATAATAATAAATGCTTGAGAATTCAGAGGAGGCCACAATTATTTCTGCAATCATTAAGGCAAAGAATTCTAAAGTTGTGCTGAAATTTTATCTGAAGCAAAAACATTTCAGATGGAAAAAAAATCAAAGGAAAAATGCATGAATTTAGGAAAGTACAAAATATGTAGAAGGACTAGGAAAGTAGACTAGTAAATTTAGAGCTGAGACTCCTTGATCCCGGTAACTCTATTATTCCATCAGGATCAGATGGAATCACAGAAATGTTAAAACTAGAAAGGAACTTACAGCTCATCTATAACCAAAACCCTTCTTCCCACAGATACCAAACAAAATATGATTTGCTTAATGTAACATAGCTAATTGGTGAAGGAATTAAAATTAAATTAAATTTCTCATATTCTTCCTCCGTAACTTCCCTTCAATGTGGCTTGTTTACATTATATGCAAGGAGAGAAAATATGAGCTGAGTTCTGGATATATTGTTTTTAATAACCTCAAGTAGCAGTTTCCCTTTTCCTTTCATCACTCATTTACACTTCAAATTCTTTATTATTATTATTATTATTATTATTATTATTATTATTATTGGCTGCACTGGGTCTTTGTTCTTGCACATGGGCTTTCTCTAGTTGCAGCAGGTGGGACTACTCTCTAGCTGGAGGTGCATGGGTTTCTCATTGTGCTGGCTTCTCTTGTTGCAGAGCACAGACTCTAGGGCATATGGGCTTCAAGAGTTGCTGCACATAAACTCAGTAGCTGTGGCTCACCAGCTTAGCAGCTCCAAGACATGTGGGTTCTTCCCAGATCAGGGAAACTGACAATCGGGAGCTTTCCTGGTGGCTCAGACGGTAAAGAATCTACCCACAATACTGAAGACCCGGGTTCAATCCCTGGGTCGGGAAGGTCCCCTGGAGAAGGGAATGGCAACCCACTCCAGTATTCTTGCCTGGAGAATTCCATGGACAGAAGATCCTGACAGGCTACTGTCCATGGGGTCACAAAGACTTGGACATGACTGAGCAACTAACACTTTCTTTCAAGAGGGTGGAAGAGGGTGGCAGAGGATGATATGGTTGGATGGCATCACCATTTCAATGGACATGAACTTGGTTGAACTCCAGGAGACGGTGAGGGACAGGCAGGCCTGGCCTGCTGCAGTCCATGAGGTTGCAAACAGTCATACACGACTTAGAAACTGAACAACAACAGAGTGGACATTCACATATGCTGGCCTGCAATCTCAGGCTCAACCTTTGTAATATTAAGGGTCAGAATCTGAAAATAGCAATCAGTCTCAATATTGCTCGAAAGGGACTGATAGGCTGCCTCTAGTTTTTACTGTGAGTTGGTGATACCTGGTTTGCGTCTTGGAATTTGAGACTGGCGACATAACATAGTGTTGGGTTTGAATCCGGGCTCTAGCATTTATCAGCTAAATGATTAGGACAATTTATTTAACCTCTCCAAGCATTAAATTGCACATATATAAAATAATGATAGAAATTGTTTCTACCTCTCTCTCTGAGTTGGTATGAGCATTGAGTACCTTTGTTTGGGTTTCCCCCAGAGCAAACTCTGAGACAATAATTTCAAATAGTTTATTTAAGAGCTGATCCCAGGAAACATGGTGAGGGTGATAAAGTGAGACAGGGAAGGAAATCTTCCTGGGGATCCTCTAGCAAAGGGCTAGGAAGCTCGGAAGGGTAATAATCCACAATCTGTATTCCTTATTGGATGAGGGTTGCCCCTGGGATATTAACTGTCTGACACTTCTGGCTGACCCTGAGCAGAGATTAGGTCCAATCCGGGGGCAGACAAAGCCCCCACAGTGAAAGGTCCAAGGCTTGAAGTAAGAAGCTTTGAGTTTTTCCAGGCATGGCCCACCAAGGCTACAGGTGACCTGGAGGGGGCTGAGAGGGTATAAGCAGAGCATTGACAGCATCCTCTATAGTGAGGCAGTGTGTTTGTCATGGTAGCATTTGGAACATAGCCAGCACTAACAAATGAAATTAGCTACTTAAAATACAAAATACTGAGATGTAGAGGGAAAGTCTTCCAGATTAAAAAGAAGAGACACTATTACCAAGGGGATGAGATGAATGGGCTCAAAACAAAACCTAGAAGTCATCCTTCACACTATCTTCTTCTCATCTCGCCAGTCGAATCACCTTAACAGTTTCCTCTCTCTCTTCTCTATCAATACTCCTTCAAGTAGGCTTTTCACATTTCTTGCTTGAATTATCAGATGACCTTCTAATCGGCCTTCTTGCTAATTTCACTTTCTTGCCCCACCCCAACCCTCACTCAATCCATCATTCAGGACTATCAGAATGCTTTTTATAAAATCCAGCTCAAATGGAATTACCCTCTATTCACTACTTCAAATAAGTCAATGGTTCACCACTTATTTGGGGGCGAAAATACACCCCTAAGCTTAGGATACTAGACTGTTCATGATCTAGTCCTGCTTACTTCTCCAATCCCATTTCCCTTGTGCCTCACTCTTAACTCTTAAATTCCAGGTATAAGAAATCTTCCTTGGTTCCTCATATATGCCACATTATCTAATAGTTCAGGGCCATTGTTCATGCTCTTCACCACCTTTCTTCATCTAGAAAACAACTAGTTTTTATTCAGGAATTCAAGTTGATACCACTTTTTATGAAAAACTATCCCTGATATTTACCCTTCCTTCTTGGTCTAGATCAGTGATCAAATAGCATCTGTATATCTCTTAAAACTTACCACTTGTATTACAAATGTCTGTTTACTTTCTAACTTACTAATTAGACCAATTTCCTCATAATCAGATACTGAGCATCTGCATTCTTAATAGGTATTTGGGGTTATTTTTATTCCTACTGAAATCTAAGGATCATTTTATTACACCAAAAGCATTCTAAGCAGAAAACTTGATTCCTGAATAATTTTAGTGCATGTTATAGCATCTAGCATATAGTTGATACTCAATAAGTAACTATTCAATACTACTGTTTACTTCTTAAGTATTTTTACTCTCAAAGAGATTTTATCAAGTTGCCACCTATGGTAATATGACTCATTAATTAAACATAATATTCATTATTTCTTGTACCAATGATGTTATAAATTGGGTTTCTTATTGGTGATCTGTTAGTCCTCCAGCTAAGTGGCTATTAAATTTGACCAGTTGTTCCACTCTTTCACCCTTGATAGACTTTAACCTTTTCTATGGAAATTATTTAGTCTTACTGGTTTTTTAAACGACATCTAGAGGAATAGTTCTCAAACTAATAGATATTATAAAGACCTGGAGAGCTTGTTAAAAATAGCTGTGGCCTCAATCTCACAGATTCTAGCTCAGTAACATTTGAGAGAGGAGGGGAAAACTCTATTTTTAATAAGATCTTGAAGAAGAAATTATCCCCTATAATAAATGAAAATGAAAGTTGCTGTCATGTCCGACTCTTTGCGACCCCATGGACTATACAGTTTATGGAATTCTCCAGGCCAGAAAACTGGAGTGGGTAACCTTTCCCTTCTCCATGGGATCTTCCCAACCTAGGGATCAAACCCAGGTCTCCCTCATTGCAGGCGAACCAGCTGAGCCACAAGTGAAGCCCAAGAATACTGGAGTAGGTAGCCTATCCCTTCTCCAGGGGATCTTCCTATAATAAATAGATTTACATATTACATAGACAAAGAAAAGATTGACTTTTCTACAAACTGATTGATACTTAAGTTTTTTTTCTTCTAGTTAAATAGTGTCACCTGTTTCAACAGAGGTCATTAACACACATTGCAAACATGTCTTGAATTAGCAGTGCTACAATATTTTGCCTTGATTGAGTTGCCTGGAAACTTATGCGAAACTTATACGAAAACACATACCTAAATTTTTTCTTTCACTTTTGATAGACATAAATGTAGATTATATACTTAATCTACCAGGATCCTTTGCTTTTATTAAACAGCTTCTTGACAGCAAAACTGGAAATGCAGCCAAGGATTAGGAATGTGGTCATTTAGTTTTGGCTTGTGTGTGCTCCCATGTTACCTTCCTGCATGCAGCCTTCTTACTAGATGCATGAATCAAATCTTACTCCAAACCTCGAGTCTGCGCTTATTTTCCACAAAAACCACAACAGGATCTGTAGTTACCTGAACTCTGACAATAATTGTGTGTGTGCGTGGGGCAGTGTGCGTGGGGGAGGCAGGATGAGAATGAGTATGCACAGTATGCACAGTATCCTTCTCTTTCTGTTTGTTTTCTCCATTACCATCAATCATCATTATATGTATGTGTACATATATACTATTGATATATAGTTGATTTACAATGTTGTGTTAATTTCTGCTGCTCAACAAAGTGATTCAGTTATTCATGTCTATATACATATATGGGTGGCACTTCCCAGGTGGCACTAGTGGTAAAGAAATCCCCTGCTAATGCAGGAGACGACAGAGATGCAAGTTTGATTCCTGGGTTGGGAAGATCCCCTGAAGGAGAGCACGGCAACCCACTCCAGTATTCTTGCCTGGAGAATCCCATGGACAGGGGAGCCTACAGTCCATAGGCTGCCCAGGGGTCATATGACAATCTGTGCCCCTGAACCATTTTGGGAGTAGAAGGTTTCATCATTTCACATGAGGATCATAAACAGAGCCTTTGATCATAAATGTCCCTCTATCTAGTTTCTGTGTCTCGCCTTTAGATTTTTATATCTACCCCAGAAGATGCCATGAAAAGACATCCTTTCTCTTGTTTGTCCCCAGCTGGATGGATTGCATCATGACACTTTCATGACCAAGGATGAGAAGGCTCTACTAAGTTCAAAGTAAGCATATGGTTCCCAGAGTATAAAGTCTGCTTTAAAAATGGAATCAGGATACTCAGAAAGTTTTATTTAAAAATTCTCATTTGAAGAAATCTGAATACATGATGGTTTGAATATACAAGAGGAACCTGGAAAATCCCTATCACAGCTAGATGGAGTCAGAGTATCTTCGGGAGCTATTGTCTCTCATGCTGCTATAAGAAATGAAATGTTTTTACAGTACAACAGAGTAATTCTCCTTTATACAATACTATAAAAATTCATACCAATGCAGAAATGAATGATAATATCTGTGAATTTTCTGTTTACCTCTAAATAAAATTTTGCTGGTCTTTTACATATAATTTTTATGTTTAAATGTCAAAGTTTTGGGGTTGGAGAGTTTTAAAGAAATACATTCTTCTTTTATGATCAAAACAAATGATGGAATGATATTTTACTTGATGGAATATTCTTTTGTAGAGAATTTGCTATAATGGAGCTATTTAATACAAGCAAAGGATCCTGGTATAAGAGCCTAGCTTTAAACCATACTTTAGAGAATACTGCTATTATAATTGTATGTAATGTGTACCTATTTATTATATATAGTTTCTTTCTAAAATTTGGTATGAACTACTTATTTGATCATTAATTTGATTTTATGATTTGGTTTAACATTTGGTTTGTGGCTTGCTTAACCAGTGGGACATTGTCTTTTATTAACATTTTCTTCAAATTATGAAAACGTTTTTGCTTGTTCTGATTAATACTTTACAGAGCTTAATAATTAGGGAATATGACCTGAAAATAGTGACTAATCTAAAAATCAATTAAAAATATATTAATAATTTCTTTCTAAAATCAAGGTTTGGGAGGGAAGTTCAAGAGGGAGGAGACCTATGTATACTTATGACTGATTCATGCTGATGTATGGCAGAAACCAACACAATATTGTAAAGCTATTATCCTTCAATTAAAAATAAATAAATAAAATTTTATAGGTCAAGGTTTTTTGGTTTCTTTTTAAATTACACTTAATATAGAGAGAGTATTATGTGAACTTTCAGGAGAAAAACAGTTTCACTGAATTTCTTCAATTAAACCACTAGATGGCAATATCTTTGTTTCTTTATAAATCCACTAGACAATGGCTCTTGAAAAAAACACTCAGTTATCATATTTTTTAAAGCTTAAACCTCAGCTACCAAACTGCAATTCCTCAATTTTAAAGACAGAAAACTACAGAGGAAAAAACTGAAGTCCAGTTAAAGATGCTGTATTGTATTGCAGGTAGTAAACTAACATCCTTCCTTAATAACCAGAGGTGTCACTGGGTCACTGAGGTGAAAATTTACTTTGAAGCACACAAATTTCTGAGATTTTGTGCCTGTAAGGATGCTCTATACAAAAAGACACAGCTGAAACAGTGTTCTTGAATCTGTTTTCTTTTCTTGCAACTGATTTTTCTTTTTTTTTGCTTTCTCATCTAATTCCACTCTTTCTAACTCTTCTCTTTCCCCTTTATGCATTAAAAAATACAGACAAGGGTGGAAGGAAGGGTTTGAGAGCAAATCACCTTTGTGGAGGAGATTCCTT